CAACATTACTCTGTTTGTGCCGGGGGACTGGATCTTTGGGATGAACCTTTGGGATAAATACATCAAGTTCACACGAGAAGATGAAAAAAATGGCAAGTTGGCTTTCTTGGACTGTGAGGTCTCAGTCTCTGATAGAGGACATTTGCAAACTGAGGTGTACCGCAAACCCACCCACACAGACCAGTATTTGCAGTTTGACTCCCATCACCCTTTGGAGCACAAGTTAGGAGTCATCAGGACTCTGTACCACCGAGCAGACAGCGTCCCCACTAACTCAGGAGCCAGGCAGAAGGAGAAATCCTACACAAGACAGGCTCTAGAGCAATGTGGATATCCTAACTGGGCCTTCCTGAAAGCATAGAAGAAACCCAAACAGGACTCCAGTCAGCCATCAGGTGAAAAGGAGGAACCCAGACCAGTGGTCATTCCGTATGTTGAGGGAGCATCAGAGAAACTGAGACATTTATTTTCTAAACATAACGTCCCAGTGGCTTTTAAACCCCAAAATACATTACGGCAAAGACTGGTTCATCCCAAAGATCCAGTCCCCCGGCACAAACAGAGTAATGTTGTGTATGTTGTTCAGTGTCAGGAGGGCTGTGATCAGTCTTACATCGGGGAAACAAAACAGCCACTGGCCAAAAGGATGGCCCAGCACAGAAGATCAACATCATCAGGCCAAGACTCTGTGGTCTACACTCATCTCCAGGCCAGCGGTCACTCTTTCAGGGATGAAGATGTTCACATCCTGGACAGAGAGGAACGTCCTGGTTTGAGAGAGGAGTAAAGGAGGCCATCTTTGTGAAAAGAAATCGTCCATCGTTAAACAGGGGTGGAGGCCTCCGGGTTCAACTGTCCCCCTCTTACAATGCTGTGATTGCTAGTATCACTCAGCCCTCTGTGAACAGTAAACAACCATCAGTGTGCTAATGATCCATTGTTAGGCTGATGGTCCTTCTTGAGCATGTGAGCAGCTGTTTTTGGTTGTCAGCAGCAAACTGGTTGATCCACTCTGAGAAGGTGCTATTTAAGAGACTGAGCTGAATACAGCACCTCAGACTGAGGAAGTCTCTCGGATGAGAGATGAAACGTTTCTACATTTTTTGTTGTTTTGCTTCTTTTTTTTTTTTTTTTTTAATGTCCAGAGGACCAGATTGAACTTTTTTAGACTTTAGGGTGGAGTTTGCATGTTCTCTCTGTGCATGCGTGGGTTTTCTCAAGGTAATCTGGTTTCCTCCGACAGACCAAAAACATGCATGTTAGACTGACTGGTAACTCTAAATTGTCTCTAGGTGTGAGGGAGAGAATGAATGGTTGTTTGTCTCATTTGTCTCTATGTGTCCCTGTGATGGACTGGAGACCTGTCCAGGGTGTACCCTGCCCCTTACACAGTAATTGCTGGACATGGGCACCGGCGACCCCCGTGATCCAAAATGGAATAAGCGGGTAAAGATAATGGATGGATGGATGGATGGCTCGTGCAAATAAAGAAAAAATCATAGACTTTACTGGCCTGTTTGAGACTGTCATCATTTATTCCATATTCAGTATTTTGGTGAAACTAAGGTTTGAGAACTGTTCCCTTACAAAGTCCTAATGATGTTTTATTTTTCAGAGGCGCTGAGGCTAAATTTAGGGATGCCTGAGCACCCCCCAAAAGAGGCTAAAATCACAACTGAAGCCAGTTCATATTTATAATTTAGGTTATTTTTAAACACTTTATGTGTGATTTATACGTTTCTTAGTGAAGGATCAAAGTGAAATGTTTTTCAGTGGCAGGAAGCTGAAGGAATTCTGTCAAAATAAAATATAAATTATTAAAATTAAATAACTGAATGCACAAAATAGCCACTTCAGCTGCACAGTGCCATTAAGGTAGTCATTGGGCAGACTTTCCATTTAACATTAACATTACAGTCAGAATGACTGAGTGTAAACACACTGACACTTTAAAGGACATTTTAACATAGTAATGAGGACAACTTGGTGGGCCAACTTTGGCCCGTGGGTCCCTCTTTGGGCACCCCTGCTCTAGAGCAATGCGGATACTGACCTAAACAGGACTCCAGTCAGCCATCAGGTGAAAAGGAGGAACCCAGACCCAGACCAGTGGTCATTCCATATGTTGAGGGAGTATCAGAGAAACTGAGACGTTTATTTTCTAAACATAACGTCCCAGTGGCTTTTAAACCCCAAAATACATTACGGCAAAGACTGGTCCGTCCTAAAGATCCAGTCCCACGGCACAAACAGAGTAATATTGTGTATGTTGTTCTGTGTCAGGGGGGTGATCAGTCTTACATTGGGGAAACTAAACAGCCACTGGCCAAAAGGATGGACCAGCACAGAAGATCAACATCATCAGGTCAGGACTCTGTGGTGTTGCAGCAAGAGCTGATGCGGGCCCCGAGTTACTGCAGTCGGCCGCTGTGGGCCCCAGGCCTCATCTCGGACCCCAGGTCCGCCTCCAGCTCACACTGCCCCTCCGGCTCAGACCTCCCTCAGAAGCGGCAACTCACACTATCAATGAATCAAGGAAACGTGAATTAAGTTTTACCAATTGTATTAAATTAAGGCAGGAGAAGGTTACAGTTTACAGCGCTGTCCTGTCCGATACACGACACGGTATCCTGCACCGTAAGGGCCGATGTTACATGGCATTACAGATATATAGGGCCTAGACTCCTCCTTCGCAGAAGGGGAGAACAGCCTATCATGTGGATAAGGGGGAGGGACTAAATGTGATCTTAAGGATCTTATATGGTCTAACGTGTAAGAAAAAATGAGACGGTGCATAAAAAGCCTTTCTACATGATGCCGAGGGCCAATAACGAAAATAAATAAAAACTCTATTCTTTGACAGATACTGAATCCCTGGGAGACTCTTTTTAGAGTTGCTGGCCATGTTTAAACCAGTCAGAACCGGGTCATAATTTCATTATAATCCCACCTCTGAGTGGATCAAAAAAACCAGTCAGTCTAGATAAAAATACTAACAGTGGTCTACACTCATCTCCAGGCCATTCAGGGATGAAGATGTTCACATTCTGGATAGAGAGGAATGATGGTTCGAGAGAGGAGTAAAGGAGGCCATCTTTGTGAAAACATCATTAAACAGGGGCGGAGCCTCCGTGTTCAACTGTCCCCCGCTTACAATGCTGTTACTGCTAGTATCACTCAGCCCTCTGTGAATAGTAAACAGCCATCAGGGCATTAATGATCTATTGTTAGGCTGATGGTCCTCCTTTATCACGTGAACAGCTAGTTCTGGCTGTCAGGTTGATCCACTCTGTGAAGGTGCTATTTATAAGACTGACTATGTTGCAGCTCCTCACATTGAAGAAGTCTTTTGGATAAAAGATGAAATGTTTCAACTGGAAGAATTTGTCCAGAAGACCTGACTTAACTTTGTTAGACCTTAAAGGATCTATCTTGTACCTTCTACTGACAACGTAGAGAGAAGTAAAGAGGTATTATGATCTCAGTGTTTTTAAAACTTGTCAAAGACCTGAATTCACAGGAGTGGCTAACGACCAAAACATGAAAAATCTTAGATCAATACTGTTTTCAATTAAATTAAATGTCACAATTATAAGAACCCTATATTTACAAACCAAAACAACATTTTGTTGTTTTGAATTTGTTTAGTTTCATATTTTGTATTCAAGTAGGTTGAACCAAAGCAAGTAAGAAATCTGTAAGAGTATGAAAATCAAAATGTAACCATTTCCTCTTAAACACTTTGTTGAGTTATTTGTTGCACGATTGTACAAATTTACCTATACGTGCACAAAGTATTTACTTTACGTGAACAATAAACACATAAAAGGGAATAATAAGAAAATTCTCATTATTCCCTTTTATTCATTGTTATTTGATTATTTTATGCTCTATGGTTTTAATTTATTATTATCCAAAGTGTCAGTTGAGTTGCTTTAGTTTAAATATTTCAAAGATAATGTTGTTCCTGTGCAGAACTGCACAAAATCCTTTTCTTTTTTGAGTTGCTTTTTGTGCCTCTATAGTTTCAATTGCTGGAATTTCCTTTTGCATTAAATCATATCTTCAAAAATAAATCAGTTTATTAAATGGTTTAGGAGTAGTGTATTAAATGTACTTCATGTGGAGTATTTTTTTTTTTTTGTAATTTTGTTTTTAATTTTCTTCAGTCACATATTTTTTTTTCATGTCACTTTTATGTTTCAAATGTAATTTATGCTATTTTATGACTTTTTCATATTCATTGTATTATAGTTTTTTTTTTTTAATAATTTAATTACACTTTATTTTTACTTTTGTTTAGCTCAGTGAACTGTTTTTTTTATATAGAGATAACATTAAACTGAATAGTTTTAGGAAACTTGAAGCCATTTGTTTATGATGTATTCCCATTAATAATGAATATGAGACAAAATGTTCGTTAAGACAATATTTTATTTGGTCTTTATGTTTACCACAACACAATGCATGTCAAGGGTTATAACAATGTTGCTGTTAAACAATTTGTGTTTGTATAACAATATTCAGGTGACTCGTTTCTTTATAATGGTCAATTTGACCATCACATTTCACAAAATATTCAAGTCACATTTTTAGTCACAAGAAGTTGCACAGAAAGGAATTTATGTAGATCACTCCTGCTTCCAACAGCATAAACAAAAACAACAAACAAACAAAAAGAGGTTGCACAAACACAGACACAAAGGCACCAGTTTTAGTCGGTATAAAAAGAACAACATGGAGAGGAAAACTTCTGGACACAACACGGTTATAACACCTTGATTTCACACGCTGTTTACATTACAAAAGCTCACTGGTACTTTGTAGATTGCTTTTCCCATCCCTGATCACCTGTTTCTATAAATTACTTTTCCTTCTTCTTAGCACCCATTTCTTGTAAATTTCAAGTTAAGATGCTACTATTCCTCAAGAAGGTTGAACTGCCTGTCTATGGGGTTGAGGAGGAATTAACAGGGAGTTTACTTTGAGAAATAGATTGCAACATTAGCTGGCTGGCTTTTGGGCGCTAACGTATCACGTTGAAGCGATGAGGAACCCAGAGAAGGAGCAGTGGACGTTCTCGGCAGCAAAGACGCCATTGGCCTCATCGTCGGGGATCTGGACGTAGACTGTGTCGTGCTCATCGAGCAAGAGGACAGCACTGCCAGACATCTGGTCCAGGAAGCCCTTATTGTACTCATTGTAAGTAAACACAACAGGCTGGCCATTCTTGTACAGAGCCACCAGAGCATGAGCTCCATTCACGTGGATGCTGTAGGAGAAGTAGTACACTCCAGGGACCTGGCAGGTGAAGATGCCTGTCTCAGCGTCATAGTGGCTCTCAGCGTTGTAAACGATCTGGTCAAACTTGATGGGGGTACCAGCAGCAGGATAGGGGGTGGCCAGAGTTGCAGTGAAAGCAGACATTGGGGACTTGACCATAACCTCACTCATGCCCATGCCTTTCTCAAACACAGCCTCACCAGGAGGTCCAGGGGGTCCAGGAGGACCAGCTGGGCCAGGTTCTCCATCAGCTCCAGGCTCACCAGGCTGACCAGCGGGGCCCTGAGGTCCAGCATGACCCTTAGCAACCAAACCAGCGGGGCCAGGAGGACCAGGAAGACCTGGGTGTCCCTTAAGGCCAGTTGGACCAGCAGGGCCTTGTGGCCCACTTGGTCCTCTGGGACCTGGGGTGCCATCGGATCCAGAGACACCTGGCTCACCAGCACGTCCGGGATGTCCTTTGGGTCCAGCAGGGCCTGGAATACCTGGGGCACCTGGAGTACCTGGGGCACCATCAGTACCTTTATCGCCTGCAGGTCCAGTTGACCCTCTGGGTCCTGGAGGACCAGCTGCACCTGGATAGCCCTGCTTTCCGGGGAAACCCTGTGCTCCCTGATCTCCCTTGTGTCCCTTAAGCCCCTGAGGTCCAGTTTCACCTGCGTCCCCTTTAGGGCCAACAGGTCCAGTTGCACCTGGAAATCCTCTTTCACCCTGAGGTCCAGTAGAACCAATGGGGCCAGTTGCACCAGTTGCACCAGTATAACCAGTTGGACCTTGTTCACCCTTTGAACCTGGAGCACCTGTGGAACCTGTAGCTCCTCTCTCTCCCTTCTGACCATTAGCACCTGGCTTTCCATATCCTGGGACACCTGGGGCACCAGGGGCTCCAGCAGGTCCCTGGTGGCCTTTAGGACCAACTGGACCAGGCAGACCTGGGGCACCATTTTCACCTGATTTACCTGGAATACCCACACCTGGGGCACCAGTGTGTCCTTTAGGTCCCTGTGGTCCCATGGGGCCAGTGGCACCGTCTCTACCTGGGCTACCTGACTTTCCTGGCTCACCTGGAGTACCTGATTTGCCTGGTCTTCCAATTCCAGCTGGACCAGGTGCTCCAGTTGGTCCCACTGGTCCTTCAGCTCCAGTTTCACCTTGAGGTCCAGGAGCTCCAATCCCTCTATCTCCCTTAGAACCTGGAAGTCCAGGCACACCTGGGTGTCCCTTCAGACCTGGCTCTCCTCTAGGTCCCATTGCTCCAGGAAGACCGGAAGGTCCAGGTTTGCCAGTAGCGGACAGACCAGCAGGTCCTGGGCTTCCAGAGGCTCCAGGGGCTCCCCTAGGGCCCTGGAGGCCAGTGGCTCCAGTTTCTCCCTTCTCACCAGGCTCTCCAGGAACACCAGGTTTGCCAGGTCCACCTGGAGTTCCAGGTTTGCCAGCGACTGAGCGACCAGGCTGTCCGGGAGGTCCGGGAGGTCCTTGAGGGCCGGGAAAACCTTCGCCATTCTCCCCAGCGGGACCAGGTGGGCCGGGAGGTCCCTCAGGGCCGGGCTCACCTGGCTCACCAGGCTCACCTGCCACTGATACCACTGCAAGAAGAGAAAGAGATGGTCAGTCATGGAGTCTGGGTGCACATCTGTCACATCTGTCTCTGCAAAACTTTGTATAAATGGTAAAGCTCAATACAATAAAATATATAATCTAGTTGTACATTTGTTTAAATCCACATATTTAAAAGTTTTTAGGTCTTCATTATAAAACAATTACTAAGTTTTGGTAAAATTACAGGTGCTTAAAATAGCTTGATGTAAATTAGTATGTCTAAATGAAAAATATTTTTATTTGCTGCCTAATGCCCTTAATGTGGTCAGACTGTGTAAAAAGCTCTCTCCGTGGATAATTTAAACTTAGTTTGGATGATGGAGACCAGATGTTTTGACTTTGAAACAGGGCACACCCAGTCAAACCAGCAGCCGGGTGACTGGGGTCTAATCTGCTGCGTCAAACTAAATATAATCCACCACCAGCTACTTTATAATAATAAAAATAGCACCATGCTGATTCGCACAAATATAAAAATATGCTTTTTCTTGTGTAAATAAATTTGATAAAAGTCAATATTTTGGAAACACGTTGGAATAAGTTTGCACTTTTAAAATATTGCATGTTTTTAAGATGCAGCAAAATAATATTTGTTGGTCTATGCCTGCACTGTAAGGACAAATTTTCTTATTTTTCACACACAAAAATACAAAAATTAGAATAATATAATAATAATAATAATAATGCAGTTATCTTGAATAAACTGAACTCTGTGTTGATGTTGACTGAACAAGGAAAATGTTGAAAAAAACCAGCTTATAAAAAAATATAAATCAAATAACCATTGATAAAAACAAAATACAGTGAAAGCAGCTGCATTTCTACAACTCTTTAAAAGTGTTAGAACTGTAGAAGTTAACCTAAAGTAACACACAACAAACAAATATAAAAAAACATTTGTGTTATCAAAATGTTAAAATATGCAAAACAAACTGTTAAGGGCCAGTGTCTGTATCAATCTGAGCAGGAAACGTTCTGCACATCCAAACAGACTCTGAGAGGAAAGAGGCGGGCACAACGCTGCAGCCAATCAGAGCGCAGCACTGAGAGGAGACTGGAGTTCACTTTTTAAAGTGATGTGCAGCTGTGAGCATCTGCCTGACAGCTCGGCTCTCCTTCGGCTACGACAAAGTGGCGTTTTTCATCAAGATTCAAAGCTGTGGCGACGCGTTTGCTGAGCGTTAGCAGCTGAGAGGCTGTTTACTCACTGTGGCTCTTAACGTTGTAGGGCACCACTTTCTTCACCACGTATCCCTTTCCAGTGGCTGCTGCAGAGGCCACGACGAGGAGCAGGATGCTCGCCACACGCAAGTCCATCTTGCAAGGTCTAAACTGCAGGGGAAAGGAGAAAGCAGTCAGAATTGCAGGTAAATCTGTTTGTTTAGACTCAAAGAGATTTTTCCAGCTAAGCGTTCAGGCTGTCAATTCTTGCAAAGAGCAAATAAAAACAGGCAAATGAAGCTTTTTTTTTTTTTTTTTGTTTCTTTAAATTACACAAAACTGTCATCTATGAAAAGCACTCAAAAATCTAACTTTTCACCGTTTCCTCAACGATGCAAGGCCTAACAAAGACCAGATCTTTCCTAAACTCCTGCCCAGACAGAACCACGCAGAGAGGAGGAGGAATCATACGTACCGGTTTCAAGGAGAGGAAAACCCAATCTCTTCAGCACCAGTGAGCTCCTGATGCTGCTGTATATCCTTAAGGTAGGAGCACAAGTGAGGATATGCTGCTCTCCAGTACAATGATGAGGGCTTTTATACCATATCTACCCCTCACATCATTAAAAAAAAAAAAAAACAACCTCACCAAGTAAGTACCTCCCTTCACAGAGCTAGGGTGTAATTAGCAGGCAGATCTGCCCAAAGTGGGCAAGTCACATCAGGGTGTCTCCATGCCTCGGATATCCAGACACATGATTATCACATTCTTTTTTTCCTCATCAATATCAATTTGACGATAAATAACTTCAAAATGAATTAAATAAATAAAAGAACAAAAGCGAGCTTGATGTTTAGCCTCTAAAACTGCTGAGAGATGTTTAAACTAAACTAAACAATGATCTTTTATTTTCATTTTGTCTTATATTGTTAGGTACTTTAAGTGATTTGCTGTACTTTTTGTTTTTCTGGTGTCATGCTTTAACTGATTCATGTGAAGCACTTTGTAAATAAATAAAGTATTATTATTAATATCTTAAAATAGCCAAATCAGATTTAAAAACAGCAGCACATGTTTAATCTTTAAAGCTAGTCATTTATTAAGTTTGCTGTGAGTCATCAGAATTGCTAAATCTTTAACTTTTACAAAATTATAAACAGTGGG